CTTACCTTGTATCCAAATTTGAGATCTTAATATTAGAACGCGAGTTATTAAGTTTCTAAAAAATGGCAAAACGACATTTGTGAGAAAACGGCTGATTAGAGCTCAACATTGCTCATTCTCATTGTCTTAGAATTGCTCATTTTGTTTATGTTTAACTTTTTTTTTTACGATTTTTAGTTTCTTCTTTCAATAAACCTGTTTTGCTTTTCATGTCACTATTAATTTTACAATAAAAAAAGCTGATTCCATAATACTACATGGTCTAGAATTAAAAAGCAGAATGAGATTAATTTATTATTTTTGCTTCCTCAAAGAAAAAACATTGGGATGGACCAGAATATTAAAGTATGGCATTTTAATACATTTATGCAAATATATCTTTGAGATAAAACGAATTTCTGTCCCATAAATTTTTGGGGTTTATCTGTTTTAATATGGTTTTAGCGTCATTGTAGAAAACTTCATGACTTCAATCATATTCTTGATGGAGCATTATACTCAAGAGTATCAAATCCAGAAATTCACTTACGTAAGAGTTTTTCTCCCTATATCATGGTAAAAGTATAAAAAGCATTAGTTATAAAAAAAAATCATTATTATACAATAAGTATATAATAAAATTCTTAACAATTAATAGATTTTTAAAAATTTAGATAAATTCTTGTACAGATTTTTTTTTTCAAACACAACTTGGAATACTTAGGTGTTTTATAATGATATTGAACAATACAACTAACACAAACAAAATAATTTTTCCATATATTGTGTACAACACTTAAGTCTCTATAGTTAAAAATTGTCAAAAAGCGTTACTACAGCACTGACCAACGTGACGTGTGCATCAAATACCGATTACTATGTAAGACATTAATCTTATCGCCAAACACATACCTGACGCTTCAAACGTTTCTACTAATGCTGTAAGCATTAGCTTTCTTAGCTTAAAATAGTTTTCAATCTCAGTGCAAGAAGTTTATCTATAGAGTATTTTTCTAAGACTTTTGTACAAACAATATTTAAAAAGTGAATTTAACAATTGATTTTTCAATGCAAAATCATTTTAACTGTTATAAAATAACCATTAAGAACAACCAAGCCAGGGTTTGAAAAAAAACAACAAAAATCATAGAACCCACAGGTAAATTGTTTAAATTTTAAATACCTTAAACTAATATTTTAGATAATGTTGGTATCAAAATTTCACAACATAACATTTAATGTAATAAGTGACGTTGATTTACTTTTTTTTCCTTCAAGTCATACAAATTACTGACACCTTTACGTGACATCAGATTTTTCTCATTAATAACCTACACCTCCATCGACGAGATCTTACAATATCGGATTGCAGTTTCACAGGAACTTCTGCGGCACATCGTTCACAAGTATGGCTGAAGAAGCAACTTCCTCCAAAAATTGGCATCGTTGTAATGTATGTGAAAAGACCTTTACTCAATCCTATGGGCTTTCAAGACACATGCGCTCACACACTGGCGAGAAACCCTTTCAGTGTACAATTTGTTCTCGATCGTTTCGCTGTAATTATGATCTTACCAGACACGCACGACTACACGCTGGAGAAAAACCATTCAAGTGTTTGGAGTGTTCACAAGCATTTAATCAAAAATGTCATCTTACTATTCACACACGCATCCACACGGGCGAGAAACCATTCAAATGCTCGATATGTTCACGATCTTTCCGCCAACAACACCACCTTAAAAACCACATAAAAATTCATACTAAGGAGCCTTCTTTTAGATGCACAACACGCCCACGATCTTTCGACCACAACGAAGGTGTTATGCTACACACATACATCCAACACAGGACATATTGCTGCGACGAGTGTTCTCAATGTTTTGCCCACAAAATCAGCCTCATAAAACACATTGACTCCGAACACAACTATCGCTGCACTATGTGCCCACAAACTTTTGTCCGATGTACTTTTCTCGAAAATCACATGCACAATCGTCACTTTTTTCAATGTGATAAATGCCAACAAACCTTTTCCGATTTGGACAGCCTCAGATACCACAAACGTGATAGTCATTTCTATCGTTGCATGACATGTCCGCGAACTTTTGAGCGAATCAGTGATTACAACAATCACGTAGCTAATTATCACCCGTTCAGTTGTGACATGTGTGAACACTACTGCAGTATGTTCTCCGATCTCTTGTGTCATAAATACGATTGTCACGATCCTTGATTACGTGATATTATTTCACCGTATAACTATTCATTATCAAAGTCTTCACAAAAAAAATCACAGAAACACACTTTTACAATCTTACACTGCGTTTTCATCTTCATTATTAATTGCTTATTGGATTGACCAAGGATCTTCAAATTGTTATTCTGCATCTATTATGTGCAGTTATATTTGCTATAGGAAGTATAATTTCCTGCAGTAACAAATGGTTTACATATTCCAATAATATAACGTATTTTTTCAAGAAATGTTTGGTCTAAAAAAATTGTTTATTGATATATTATTACAACAACAAAATGGTCTTGTGAAAAAAATTTTTAATAAACGATCTAAAAAAAGCCATGCAATGCATCTATTTTTTTTTCACATGTTTGCTTTCGAAAGGTTCACATTTCTGCAACTTGAAAAAAAAAGTAAGCAAAATCAGGTTAAATTTGAGGTAGAATCTACCGAAAAAATCTCAAGGACAACCTGTTTGAAAATTGAGGTTTTAACGCATGGAAACATATATCAGTACACAATACAATACAATTTTTTCAAAAATTCTTGTGAATCTTATCAACAAAAATCCATCTGACTTGATCAGTTGCTTCTTGTGAGAGTCACGCATGAGCCACCTCGAGTAAGTATACACCAGAAATCATATCCACTTGCTCTCTTGAATGTATGAATATCTTAAAAATTAGTGATCGAATTGAAAGACGTTTGCTGTGCAATTTTTATAATTTAGTAAATTTAATAATGTATGCGTCTATATTTAAATAACCTTATCCTATACAGACGCGATTGTCTCTTGTTTGGAAAAGATTCAACTGAGTCACTCTGAATATCTTTCTTTGTCCCATTGGTGACAACATTTGTACAGTGTTGGATCTGAAAAAATATATTTCTGTTATTTCTCAGAGTATGGCAAATCGTTCAGCACGATATTCATTAAGCCTCGTGTTTATTGTTAATTACATCCACATGAAAAACATAAAAGAGCTTAGTCAGCATTGCTTTGAGTCTCTGAATGGCTACCATGTATTCGTATCTTTATCTTACGTTGCACTCGTCTATAGTATCACTGGGCTTACATGAAAGTACTGTTTTTCATGTTACTATTGTTTTTCCAATTGAACAAAATAATCACATAGCGTGACGTTTCTCTAAGTTGATCGAAGTCTATGATTTCGCTGTACGGAAGTACGAGTATAATTGTAGGTGTGATAAATATAGTTTTGCAAATAATTGTACCTCTAATCATTTCGTTCGCGCGAGGAAAGCTGTTTAACAGTGTATGTTCTCGGTAAAGACTGAGAGGTGAGCTTTTTAATGCCCGTTAATACTTGATAAGAGCTATATACCTCTTATATCCCTGTTATTTTCTGTTGCGGTGTATAAGTACGAACTACCATATTTTCAAGGCGTAATACATTGTAAATATTGGTGATAAACTAAAGTATAGGAATATTGTTAGTTAGTAATTACCAATTACCATAAATATCTTTCATATAATTTTATATTCACAATAGTTTGATTGGACTTCAACCTATCATTGTTTGTGCTTTAATATTTAAAATATGAAACGTCATATTTCATAAAATCTGTTCTCAATTGATCGTCGTTCCTTGCATTCTTTGTGTTCTAATTGAGCAGCACGAAAATCACTCAAGAACATTATAATAAAATAAAAAAAATAATGTATAAATAAAATTAATAGCTACACCTATTTCATTGGACTTGCCGAAAAATCGCATCAATATCATAAAAGCTTTTCTTCGAGTCAACAAAAATCCTGGATTTGGATTTGGATTCCAAAAAAGTCAATAAAAAAAAAATGCGTCAAACAATAAGCCCTTCCAAATATTAACATTTGAATTACTACAAAAGCCAGAGCGTTAAAAGTATTGCAGTTGGCAAATGTAACTCATCGATGTACGATGAAATGTACATTCATCAAATTAATTTTTTTCAAGAACTTGAATTTTCGATCGTACGACGATAAGAATTTAAAAAATATTTACTTTACCGCGAAACGCTCTACAGTGATATATATTTTTTTTTTTATTTCCTTTGAACTATTGTTTAAAATAACCACACATATCTCTATCGCTGACGTCATCGGGACAAAGCAAAAAACCAATAACACCATCGTTACGCAACACGTGTTGAGGAGGTGAAAAAATTTCCCCAAACCTTCCGTAAATCGGTACACATATACTCCCGCACACGATAACGGAATAGCATAAAAAGTAAACAAAGATCGTACAATGCGAGAAGAGAGTTCAGCTGGCGTTTGGAAAACGTACCCACACTCATCTCTGTTTGCTCTTCGAGCGGAAAAAAAAAAAAAAAAAACCGGCATTGATCTCCAAAAGATAAGGACACATGCTCACACAGCCGAGGTCGTAAATTGTAGACGATCTCTGGGCTCCCGCGCTTCTTTCCATCGATTAAATTCCATCGCTTGCTTCCTCGCACAGATGTCCGACATAACATAGCTATGGGTTATTGATTGACAATTCCCAAAGACATGGATTCTTATAGGTACCGATCATTAAATTATCAAGCACAACGAAGAGATAAGGCTCGTTCGACGACATCCCGAGAATAAGGAAAGCCGACGGGCGTCACTCTCATTATGCATATTATCGGGTGTACAAACATTAGAAGCGCGTAGGAGGACCGAGCAAACAGTTCGAAGCCAAGTTCCAGTCCCCCCTTGAGGAGCGTGTATGACGCGCCAGTCGCGTCTCGTCGCGCGACGAGGGGACCATCGTCTATAGTTTCGCGGAGGACCATGAAGGAGCCCGGCCATGTGGCCGAAGAAAAAAAGGTCTTTTACGCCCAGTACATAGCCAGTGGAACGCGTAAGTTTTTTTCCCCTCTCTCCCCCCTCATCCTCCGAGTTCTTACGTATTTGTGTGTTGGCCAGTGAGCCTTGTCATGCTGGTCGTTGGTTTGGCTAACGGCTGGTCGTCGCCGTACTTGGCCAAGCTGTCCCTGCAGGAGAGCATGGACGACATACCAAAGGCGAGCGACGAGCAGCTCACGTGGCTGGCCTCCCTGATGAACATGGGCCGGATATTCGGGGCGGTTATCGGGGCCATTGTCCAAGGTACCGTTACCGATTTTTCTATATGTAAAATATATATATATATATAAGATACCACAAACGTGATAGNNCTATGTTACGTAGTTTGTATATATATATACATGTGCATGGGAACAGAGTAAAAATATTTCATAATTGGCGGCAGATACCCTCGGGAGGAAGATGTCCCTGTGTTTCGCGGGTCTGCCGCTCATGTGCGGCTGGATTTGTTCGAGCGTCGCCGCCAGCATCGCTTGGCTCTACACGGCGAGGATCCTCTGGGGTTTGGGGATGGGCATGATATGGACCACCATTTCCCTCTACCTGGCCGAGATTGCCGATTCCGAGATCCGCGGCTCTTTGGCGAGCAAATATATACGTATACACGCGCGCATTTGTTGGGCGATCGAGGAGACGGGTTATTGACTTTGGACTCTCGATCGCTCCAACCTGTTGCAAATAACACTGTTTGGTCGAAGAAGCTTTTTTTTTTTTTTTTTCCCGAGTCAATGTTGATCCAGGTGCACGTGTTTTTTATGATGGGGTGTTGTGTTCATCCGTGTAGCCTCCGGTTCATCGTTGGTCGGTCAAAGTTTTTTCGAGCTGTGATAAACGATTTGTACCTATATTGGGTGTGTTGACTCGAGGGATTTTAGAACAAAAAAAGTTTTCGTGGCTAACGAGATTTGGGAATCATATTGTTTTTTTTTTTTTTTTTCTCGCGAGATGTCAAAAGGAAAGAGTTACCAAAAGTTCGTGGACGAGTTGGACAAAGTAAAAATAAAAATGAAGATGAAGATACCAAAAATAAAAGTAAATTTGATATGTCATTTTAATGCATTGGACTTTGTACTTTTTCGTTTTAATCTCGAACGCCGTTAACTATAATAACTTTTTATTACTGGTTTTCACGAAGGAAACATGAATAAAGAAAAAAAAAAAAAAATCTGATGCAATCATTATATTAATGCGGAAAATAATCGACAAAAAGTCTCGTATAGTATAGGTAAATCTAATCGGCAAACCCATGCATGCGTGCAGCGTAATATTACATTTACTTCAATCATTCGTATGAATTTCGGCAGTTAATATATACGATAAGGTTGTTGAATCGCATTCTTATTGAAAAAATGTGTAAATGTGAGACCGGGTTTAGCTAGCTAAGATAAGGTCTCAGTGCCGTGGTCCTTAATATGTCTAATAAATGTTAGGGACATCACGTTACTTATGGTTTACCATATAGATTATGATTGTTATTGACCGGGTGTTGAGATTAAGGTTCCACCAACTACAACAGTGTGCTCCAATTAATCTAAAACAGATGTTAGTACTAAACAAATATTTCGCACGATTACCATAGAAGTCATTAAATCCGCGTCAAAAAGAGATCAGCAATAAATGGAAATCCTTAGAATCAATTTGAAAAAAGGACATTATCTCAAAAATGTTACCTTACATTAAATGGATATTACACGTAAGATGGTGCTGTATATTATGTAACGTATAACTCACCCTTCTATGGTTTTGACATAATAATAGCTTCATCCAAAGTATTAGGAGTAGAAAACTAGACAATATTATTCTTGATGGTTTAATAGCTTCATCCAAGGCAAAGTATTATGTGTAGAAAACCAGATACTCATTCATCTTAAAACTGGACGTTAAAATTTTTTTCTTGAGTTGACGTCGCTTTAAATTGAACTGCGGCACTTGATTTGAAATTTTTTCGCTTACGTAATTTGAAAAATACATCACTATCGGATCAGTATCTTCTTCGTTTTTGTCTTCTATGTTAACCATACTTTTTGAACAATTATCCGTAGATAACGTGACAAATCCCTGTTGTAAAAAATAAGTGTACCTACAAACTGTATAAAAAAATTATATAAAATAACGTTTTACATTTATGGGAAACAATAAGGTATCTCATATCTCACAGATAAATGCGATGATATAGATGAAATTAAATTAAGGTTTTGATATCATTGTTAAATAAAAAAATTTTTTTTAAATTCCTTGCAAATGCTACGTAATTAACAGCTTCTTCGACCTACAAACTAACATTCACGCAAGAGAAAAACTACACACACAGAGATAGAGGTGAAAATGAGTGCAATGTGTAACAGTGATATTATCCAATTTGGCGTGTCCAGGTATTATGGAACATAACGACCCAATCGATCGGCCAATTTTTGGGTGTCCTCTTGGGACCCCGTCTCTCGGTGAGAACGTACGGTTACGTGTGTATGGTGCCTAACGGCATGTTCCTGCTGCTGTTTCCATTCATACCGGATTCACCCTATCGTTACGTGATGGTCGGCGACATGGAAAAGGCCGAGGCGTCGCTTCAGTGGTTCCGCAGGCAGCGCAACGTCAAGCAGGACCTCATGGAGCTACAGGACTACGTCAACAGTTCCCAGGTCACACTTCGGGACAGATTGCGCGAGCTTGGAAAACCTAGTGAGTCGCTTCTTTTTTTTTTTTCATTGGACAAAAATGGCTTTTTGTGGTCACGTCTTCTTCACTCTTCCGTACTAATGACAAAAGTTGGTAAACCAACGCCCTTATGTTTTTCAACGAGAATAGCCATACTCGTCCTATTTTTAACAAATTAATAATTATAGGATGTTTCTCCCATGACTTTCCCGTAAAAAGTGCTCGCGTTGATAAGGTAATTGGATTTTTTTTCAGACAATAGTTTCGTGATACTAGTCTTCGTTTTTGGGCTAAAAAACGTATACTTCAATATATTGTTAATCAATCAATTAATAGTGACAGAAAAGATATAAAAAATTCAAATCTTGATGACTAGCCGCTTTGGCCTTGGTAGCTGGTGTATGAGGTAAACGTTAGAAAGTCGATTAAGCTGAAATATTTTCTTTGCCAATAAAAAATATCTTTTACATTCATAAAATATATGTCTGAAGAATTAAAAAAATAAATTATAATTAAAAAAACATGTTAAATCAAAATTCTTAATAAATTTAGAAAATGTATGAAGAATATATTTTAAATGTATGTTTTTGTTTAATATTTATAACTTTTTTTTAAACGTCTATCTATTAATGAAGCAATTGGACCAGTTATCCTATACTACCGTGGCTGCATAGTAACACACTAATAACATATACTCATGCGTATAATATATTATGCACATGACTTTACCTTAACGACGTGAAAGTTTAATGCGAGAAAGTTACGGGACACAATTTTTACACTTTATTTTATCAAAGAAGAAATAATAAACACACCCCAGAAAATATTATCTCAGTAAATGACTAGTGATAAAAACCGATCGTAAGAAATAATAAATTCGATATTTAAGAGTAGAATTTAAAAACTTGTATTAATAATTATTATTAGTCTTATTTTTTATTTTTAGTGACAAATGCCATCTGTAAAGGTGAAAAATGAACTAAAAACTGAAACTTGAAGCTTATAAAATGTATTATTTGTTATCAAATAATATAAAATTATCTAGTATAGCTGATAAAATCTCCCATTAATTACAGTTGATTTTTTATAAAAACAAATTAATTATCGTGATACTATTTGTTGCAATTCGAAAAAAATAAGAAAGATCAATGTTGTTGTAGTCACAAACCTCGACTTTATCATTTGGTGTATGATTTATAGTTTT